AAAGAGTGGGTAAAGATGGCGCGAAAGATTTCCGTAGTTTGTTAGAAACCCCAGGGCTATCGCTAAGCCTTCGTGTGATCAAGATTTCCAGTTCTCTTTCCTCCTCGCTTCCTTAATTTCATCGCGTCCTACATCTTAAACAAAAACCGAAAAATAAAAATAAACAAACAAACAGATATTTATCTCAAAACATCAGCAATTCAGCTGTTTTATTTCAAGTCAAATCGCAGGTACGACACATTCTCAGAATCACTGCTAATTGGTTTTCCTTTTATTTTTTTCTGGTTAATTGAATCATGTTATGTTTTTCTGTGTGATTTTACAATCAAAGGAGAATTAGCTGTGGATGATCGCCGGTGCCGCTTCCGGCGACTGGGATCGAGACATGGCTGGTTAATAGAGGATTTTTCAACGACAGGGAGAATTTTATTCAACTTCGTAAAAGTAAGTCGTTTATTTTTGTTTTGTTGAAGAACCCTGTTAATCTTAATGTATATTACTTTTGAGTTGTATCGAAAGCATTGAATAGAACACATTTGGCTTTTCATTTGTATGGAAATTCCAAGATGTTAAATTGGTGGTTGGCAGTTTAATTAATGTCTAATTAGAAGACAGGTCACACGGAATCCGATTAGTGTTTGTGAATTAGCATATTAAATAAGGAGATTGCAAGAAAAGAGATTCAAAAGAAAAAAGAAAAGGAAGAAGGGAGATTCATTTGTAAACCAGTGGAGTGCTAATAGGGATACACTTTAATTATTTGATTACCATGTCTAAACTCTAGTAGTACTTTATTTATGACTTAATTATCTGATCCCCCCTCTCTCTCTCGAATTTGATTTGCACGATTACACGAGTTCTTATTTTCTTAAACTGAGTCTCATAGCACATTAAATCACCTTGCTGGCCTATCAAATTTTCCTTTTATTATTATTATTATTATTTGATAATACTCAGAGGTTGGCTAATTGGATCCTGTAAAGTCACGTCTTTCCGTGGAAGAAATTGTTCTCTTGTCCTTTAGATGTTACTTAACTTGTTTTCATCTCTCATCATGCAAGCTTTTAACTGTTTGTGCGTGGTACATTGTGAGATTGAGATTCTTTGAACACTTCTTACCTTCAATTCTATCATATTTTCATACATGTCGTTTGATTAACAGCTGGAGTCGTAGAGTTATAGTGTACTGAAAGGCTGGATCAGATTATTGTTTTCAGCTATGGACTGGGATCATGAAAGCGGAAGCAGCAAGCATTCAGAATCACATCCAGAAGTTATTAATGGGACCGGGAGCAGTGATCATGGGGATACATATCCCAGGCTTCGTGTTCAGCTTGGAAGTAGTGGCCATCTTCAGATAGATCCTGAGAAAATTGAGGGGAGTGAAAGCAGTAAAAATTCAGAATTGCATTCTGAGGTTGTTAATGGAAGTGATAGCAGTAAACATGTAGAACCAGAACCTGAATCTACTGTTATAGAAGGGGATTTATACATGCGAAATATAAAGTTAGGTTTTTCCTCTTCCTCCTCTTCCTCTTCAAGTTCTTCCGGCTCGTCATTGTATGATCTGTTTGATGCGATCCCAAAAGAAAGTGCTGACCCCGGAGCAGGCAGTGCTGATTTTGAATCCTCCAACAAACCTCATGAGGTTACTCAACCAGCATCAAAAGATCATGAGAATGGTGTTTCCATCTACAGATCTCACAGATCAGAAGAAAATGAGGATGGCTCATCAGATCACGCACTAACACCCACAGTTTCTGATGTCACTCGTGAATCCCTGGCGCACAACATGTCACCAAAACAATCCCCTCCACTTCAAGTCATGGAACGACCTGGAGGATATGATCCTTTAAGGATTCCATCATCCATCTTTGAAAAAAGTAAAGGTACAGCACCTATGGATTGGAGTGTTGCTTCCAATGAATCATTGTTTAGCATTCATGTAGGAAACAATAGTTTCTCCAGAGACCATGTTTTATTGTTGGGTGATCTGGGCAAGTCTGGAGATATAACCAAGTCAGGTGAATTAATCATGTTCAGTCCACTCCCTCCAAGAGAAATGATGGCCACTGATAACCATTCTTCAGTTCCTGATGTGGAAACCAACAAACAGAAGGGTGGAGCAAATGGAATAGCAGATAACACCATCAAGGACCCAGCAGAATATCAAAATGAGGAAAATAAAACAAATGAAGCTGTATCCTGGAAATCTCCTAGCCCTTCCAACCATTCATATGGGAGTGGAGACAGTGTCACGTCATTTTCTTTTCCAATGTAAGCTGCCATCATTATCTATCTGCAAACACTTAAATACTAGAATTCATGTGCGTTGAACTTTTACATATTACTTCTATTATGCTTAAAAAAACTAGTGAAAGCCTATTATTCATGCATAACATTCATGTTCCTGCAAGGCATCAACCCTTTCCCATATCATGTCCACAATTACATTCACACTGCAATACACGGATGTCTTTATGTTTGCGGCCTTGTTGTGTGAATTCAGTCCTGACAGAAATGCCCATGTACTTGACATGCTTGTGTTTTATGCATGCAAACCAGATGTCTAGGTTTTCTCTGTAGGTATATGCACATGTGTGCCTAACTAATTAAATAGGATTCCACAAGCCTAGTACTTTGTCAATGAGGAATATACCTTTGTGTTGCAGAAGAAAAAAATATGCATGGCCGTTGTGCTACTGTTCTAATTATAGTTTGGTGCTCTGCTACTGTAACTGGCCAAGCTGTTCATGTTCTTATTGTAGCTGGGCGTTCTGCTACTATTGGAACTGTGGTTGAAAACGTTGGTGTTGTCATAAATATTCTGTGTTTGCTTCTCTCTCTCTCTCTCTCTCTCTCTGTTTCCCTCTTAATCGATAACAATCAAGAAAATAGTAAACTCTGCCGTTTTAATTTTTTTTCCAAGAGCCATCTTTAATACCAATGATGTTACTTATGTTTACATGTGATTCACAATCATTGTCATGTCATTTACATTATAAAACAGGGTTTATAGTAGCACTTTGTAAGCTCATGATCCAAATTTCTTGGAGTTGCGCAGTTTGGCAAATGGGATGAGAAGTGGTTCCCTGAAAGCAGGTGTGGAGCAGCGGAAGCAGCAGCATCTGGAGTCATCGCCTGCCCCAGTGAGTCAAAAATCAGCTTCCTTACATTGGTTTCATTGCTTTTCATGTTGCTCATGGGGTTGTTCTTTCAATCGCTGTTGTTCCTGTCAAAAAATTAAGTGTTGTTGCTAAAACTGGCTCCATATTTGATCCAAAGGAAGAGTGCTTCTCAGCTCCTAAGCTGCCTCCTGTTTAAAATGCAAGCCTGAGCTGTCCTTAACTTTCTTGTCATTGATTTAAAATTGGGACATCGACAATGGTTGCTATTTAATCAATACGAGGCCTTTTGAATATGCAAATTGGTTCTTTGCAAGAGCCAGGAAAAAGGGAAGGTGGTGAGGCAATGGTAAGGAGAACCCCTAAACCTGTACCTGTATGATGTGAGGTGACCTTTGGGAAGAAAATGCTGGGTGCTTCCTCCTTGAATCGGAGCCAGTCAATTTATTACTGCTGACAATATTTGCGTCTATATTGCTGTAAATTAATCTTTAAGTCAATAGCCCTTTGGTTGTATTAGATGATTGTCTTCAAGCATGTGCATTGTATTTGTTTCTATGATATTCTTTGAAGTGGTGATCGAGGAGAGTCTGTTGATATTAGAAGCACGGTTTGGTTGTGATGATATTCTTAGGTGTAACGTGTAGGATACAGAAAGGAAAGCAGCTCATAAAATTCCAATAATGCGAGTACTCATAGCTCTTGTAAAAATATGATCTTGGAATGCCCAAAATTCATGCTATCGCTTTAAGCGGTTGGACAGCTAAGACCAACCATTTCTTCGCCGTGTGAAAATTTGTTTAAGTTGTTGGAGCCAGGGTAGCACGTTCTTAAACACGAGTCTTAAGCCATCTTCTAATAATAGTTAAGAAAATATTTTTAAAATTTTTAAATTTATTTTTGATATTAGGATATTAAAATAATTTAAAAATATAAAAAGATATTTGAAGAAATAAAAAAATAGTATTTTTTAAAATATTTTTAAAACACAAAAACAAATAGATATTATCATTATTTATTAATGCGCCTCACCTTAACTAACATTAGTATTTTTATTTTTTGGGTTCAAACATTTGTTTAAAAAAATAAATAGATAGATAATAATAATCATTGAATAAGACTCGTAAAAGGATATTCATGTGGAAGAGTAGAGCAGCACACCGGTCATCAGGTTTTATTGATCGTGCTTGTTTGAAGTGGGACCAGCTGGTCATTTGAAACATTGCTGCGTAGTTCCTACCAAGAAACCTTTCGGTTTACAATAATAACAACCACCGAGATTCATGGGGACTCCAGTTAAGCTTTGCACTTCGCAGAGAATTCTAGTTATAAGCAGGGCCAGTTCCAACTAACATATTGTTTTTTGGTTCAGCTTTAGACTTAAATTGCCTTGTCTTCTGTAATGCCTAAAATAAGAGGGGATTAATTAATTCATTACCTGTAAATATTTGTTAGAGATGATGTCATCATTAATCCTTGAACGTAGGTAGCGCCAAACTCAAATCATATCTATTAAAAAATTATAAATATTAATTAATAAGATATGTATAAACTGTTTCAAATATCCATAACTTACAAATATTTAGACAGATTTTGAACATACAGTAAAAATAAATTATTTAAATTTATATTTGTAGATTTAATATAGTAATGTTAAAAATAAATCTTAAAAAATAAAAAAATTATTTTAATATGTTTTCAAATAAAAAATATTATAAAAAACAACCCTATCTTATCTGGTAAAAAAAATTATTGGGAGAATTTAGTCTGTTTTATGGTGAGTATTTACTGAAAAATAAATAAAAATCTAACCTGGAGGAATCAACTGTGGATGACATCACAAGTGACATCTTCCTAGCCTTTTTTTCTTTTTTTCTTTTCATATTTTTTCTATCGTGGTGTTCTGCACTTCACCCCCTGAGCAAGCACATGAGCAAGCACAAGATAAATAATAATAATAATAACAACAACAACAATAAAAATTAATAAAAAAATAAAAAATAAAAATAAAAACTCTTCTCAACGGCAATACATATTTGTAAAAAGATGGGAAAAAGCAAAAGGTGGGAATTTCTCTTATTACCACGGCGGACATTTTTTATTCGTTCAAAAAAACGACGACGTTTGTCCCCGGCGATGTAACCGTTCATCGGATGTTTTATATATATTTAATTACCAGAGTGCATATCCTTATTAAATTCAGTTTAAACAACAACCTCCACGTGCGGACGCATGAAGGAGGGTCCTAGTTAATAACTATAGAATGGGATCCACCAATGATTTTTTTTTTTTTAACTAGCAGTAAAAAGGGTATTTTACAATCTAACAAAACTATAAGATGTGCAGGTCTCACATGTAAAATAAAAAAATTAAGAGTTAATCTAGCAGCCCGTGTTCCTCATCGGAAGCTTTAAAGATTGCTTCTTCTTTTTTTATTAATTTTTATTTGATAATATGGCTGTGCTTGTTTTTTAAAAATAACTTTTTATATTAAAATATATATTAATAATTTTTTTATTTTTAAAAAATTATTTTTTAACTTCAATATATTTTGAAAACATTAAAAATATATTAATTTAAAATTAATTAATTAATTAATTAAATTCTTTTAAAAATACTTTTAAAACTAAAAAAAAAAAACAGGCATATATCATTGAAGATATGATATTTCTCTAATATCTCATTCTCTTTTTCTCTCCTTCCATTTTTTTTCTTTTTTTTTTTTGTTTCTTTCTGGTTGTTTTGCAATCTATTTCGTTTTATTTTCTCTGCCTCAAACTCTTATTTGGTCTCTCAATTTTTATATAATTTTAATTGTATTTCTATTACTACATGATTAAATTTATTTTTATTTAAGTTGGGTAAAAAAACAATTTTTTGGGTAAAAATTCACCATTTTTTAAGCAATTGCATTCAAAAATAAATATGAATTTTAGCTAAAACTTTGTTGCCCAAAAATAACAAATGAAATGATTATAATAATAGAACTAAAATTAACTAAATATAAAAGTTAAGAACCAAATGAAGAAATAGGCTAGCAATTGGCGTGTGAGACATGCATGTCTCGAGCTACACATACGAGACATGCACAATTACCTAAATTATGTTAGTTTGAAAAAAATAAAATCAACATTACTATTTTGGAAAATATTTTTTTTAACCGTGTCAGATTTTTTTTAAAAAAAACTCACTATTATACTTGATTTATTATATGAGAATATAGTTATAATTGTTTTTTAAAATATTTTGTATTTAAAAATATATTAAAATAATATTTCCGGTATCAATTCCATCTATATAGCAATTCGGAGAAGATCCTGGAAAAAAAATGGTCTGGGCAAAAAGAACTGAGAGAAGAATATGAGGTCAGACTCTCGACTCAAAAGCTTGCCTGGGAAACTTGAGTTGGTTTCTGAGCACCAGGGTCTTAGACCGAAAGGCAGACCAGCTTGAAGCCCTTCAAAACTGCTGACCAAGTTATCTGGCCCTTCCCACGCATATAGAAGACAGGGAATCTAACACACATTTGGTTGAGAAAGCATATGATGCACATGGTAGAGGATGGGCTGTGAATGGAGAACTGGTGGCTGGACTTTGTCATACATCTTTTCTGAAAGATGATATTCTTGGATAATTTACCCTCTTCACATGTTCAAATATGTAACTCGTCCACAATAATTTGAACTGTTCTTGACGTTCTACTTGACAAACATCTTTTTGTAGTTTGCAAGTTTTCTCATGAAGACTCTCTCAGCTTGGTTCTGGAAAAAAGCCTGTTGAAACAACAGGCTATCTATCTGGGAGGAGCACGGTTTTCGAAAGGAAGAAAAAAACTGAATATTTTTTAAATATTATTTTTCATTTAAAATTATTGTAAATCCTCTGATTTAAAACTCAAATCAGTATTCTCAAACAAATTCCAAAGATAAAAATTGATTTAATGCTATAAATTAAATTAAATTCAATGTTCCTAAGAGCATGTAAACAAACTCACGTCGTGCTTGCTAAAATCTAGTAAAAAGTAATGAAGATAACCGAGAAATTGCCTTCATGCCTTCCGTTAGCCAGCCGGTAGCAGAACAAGAACCAGTAAAATAAAAAACACGATTCTGTCTTTGAAAATCACTGTTTTCTTGAAATGGTTTAGTACTTCATCGGTTCCATCTAAAGCGTACTTGTAATGTATCCATCGGAAATCATCGATGATTCTATAAGGCGTCTTGTGTCCCGCACACTTGTAGAATCATGTTCGCGTCGTGCTAGAATCCTCTTTTTTAAATAGACCGCTGAAATTCAGATTTCTGAACTGATTTGGCTTCATTTGCTGCTATTTCATCCTTTCCAAATCTTCGAAATTATGAAGCTACCACTTAAATCCTCGAGGAGAGCCGAGAAGAGATCGTTCTTCCGAATTGATTACCGTGATTGAGATTGTTAATCTGCTGCCGTGTGCTTTTTTTTTTCCTCGTCTTTTCAAGGCAATTGTATGAACATAATCATCACTTGTCGTCATGCGTAGCACAGAGACAGCCCATGTGCTAATCTGAGCTTGTATATATATCACACCCTGTTTTCCCTCTCAACATTTATGCAATGCTTTCTCAGCTTATGAGGTGGGGCAATAAGGAAATAAGTATCACAAACAGATTACAACCTCAAAAAACCATTTGAAACATTCTAGAAGATGAAAAATAGCTGGTCATATTAGGTTTCCGTTTCAAGGACCCTAAAAAAATATAGCTATTTTCAAAAATTCTCTCATCTTTTTCCCCCATTTCACATCCCTCCTTCTCTTTAAGGGGTGAAATGAACACCGCATTACATTATTCAAAGGACGGACCAGAAGGGTTTACCACTATATGCCTAAGAGGGTGATCAACATCACTGCCACCTGCATGCTTCACGAACTCTGCAGGGGAGTGAAAGCTGCCGTGGCATACGCACATTATCCTTACTTCCTCTCCCTTACCATACTTGTACAGAATGCCATCCACTCTTCTCCCATTAGGACCATCTCCTTTAGTAAACACACAAGGCATATCTTCCATTGCATTGTTCCCAATTTCCCTCCCTCTATTTTCTGCAGAATCAAGCCTCTTGGATAGATTCTCCGTTTCTGTTCTGGAGGCTCTGCATGTATTTTCAATTTTCTTTGTCCCGGAAGAACCCACAGCTTCTTGACTGCTTCGTTCCTGCAAGGATTGATTACTAGCAGGACTTCGTGCTTCACCGCCACTGCTTGATCCTGTGATGCACATGAGATTATGAGAAGACAAACCATTTGTTTTTTCTCCATTTTCCTCTTCCCTTTACTTGCATAGTAATTTCAAAATTAATTACAAATTTCCAAATACCAATGTATCGGTTGCAGATGGATTTAAGTTACACGATTGTTATAAGATCACAAAAAAATTGTCAGCTACATGCATGCCCGGTTAATCACTTTAAAGACCATTTGACCATATTCCATGGGGAAAAATAGAAAAAGCTTGAGGTAATCAGATAAAGAGAGAAGTGACATTAGTCAAGCAGGCGAAACCAGCAAAATGAAAAGGAGGGATCCTGGAAGGATGACGAATGACAAGAACTAGAAGGATCAGCAATCGCCTGATATAAGAAAACTCCACCTGATAGCAACTCCGGACCATCCCATCACCTCCATACCTGTTGAGCATGTAATATTCAGAAAGACCCTCCTTAACCCACCCAGAAATCATGGATTTAATTATTCACCAGTTGCTTTCTTAAAGTTGCAAAACAACAAGCTTTGACAAATACAGTTCTGAACTTAGCCATGGCTGAGAGATCAACTTTTGTTCTAGGGAAAATCCATACCATGGCACACAGAAGGCAGATATCGAACAAGTTTAAGTTAATGGAATTTTACAATTTCCACAAATTAAGAGTTGGGAAAAACTAAATTAAGGGATCGAGACTGGATGAACCTGCAAGGAGAATAGATAAAGCAAATATCCAAACTAAGTGGTGGCTAGGGATCAACCTACGAGATAGGGAAAATATATACCATCGGAAACACACAAGCACGATATCAAACAACATTAAGCCTCTGGAACTTAACACTTTCCACAAATTAAGAGTTGGGAAAAACTGAACTTAGAAATGGAAACTAGATAGACCTACAAGGAGAATAGATCAAGCAAGAAGCTTTAGCCTAATCCTGAGCTACCATCCATCCATTGTCCGCACATAAACAAGTCACTACTGGATATTTTATGATGCAAGAATGGAAGATTTTATGGAATGGGTGGGCAATCAAATAAGATGCTTGGTTTGTTAACTCATTTAAGCTAGACCTGCTGCAAGTAGCAGAATACAAGCAGGTAGGCAAAATATTCATATGTGAACGTATTAAAATAAGTACCCATACATACTGAAAAATTGACTCCATTTTATACAAGTAAATGCATTCAGATTTTCGTTTCATGTTTCCTCCTTTCCTTCTCGAGGAGGCAGTCATGACATAATAGATTTTCGTTTCATGTGCATCCCTTCTGGCTTCATTGACAGCAGAGATAAAGCAGAAAAAAGAACCTACTCCAAGTCCCTTTAAAGCAAGTAGATCCTATAGCCAACTAAGACCAAGACTAAATAGTCATAAACTGAGATTCATAGTTCTCCAAGCATGTGAACTAAAGCGACTGCATAACTTGAGTGCCCAATCAATCAAGTTCATCAAAACGAATTGCAAGCTCATGAAGTTAGTCAGCAAAGAAAATTCCCATAAACAACCACGGGCTTACAATGATTTTACCCGAATGTGATCTCCCAAGTACAATAATTACCAATGATGGAAATGATCTTGGATGTTAAGTCCCCTTCATGCAGTGTTCCACAAAATTCAACCAACTCTCAATTTGAAACTAGTTGGGGTTGGCTGCATGGATCTGCCAGCTTACACTAGCATGGAAGAATATCTATTCTATGCAAGTAAGAAGAGTATCCAGTAAGTTTGATTTCATATGCTGCAGAAACTCAGTTCAGTTCTGACAACAAAGACAGAAGCAAGAAATGCACTGCCTGTTTCGTGAGACATGCTAGTACTGCAATCTGCTTACTTCCCATGTGTGCCAACAATCAATAAGCAGGGTCTTGAGATAATATTCTACTTTGTTACACCTCCAAATTACTCAGATTTAAACAAACATGATTCCTCTCCTTCTTTGGAACTTCAAGGATTTTCTTTCCCAAAGTTTTGATGAAACCAAAGAAACTCCAACAAAAGAATCTAAAACTACTTAAACTAGTTGAGTAAGAGTTGCGCTGCTTGGAAACAAATAAACATTCAAGATTTAGCACCTTCCCCAACCTCCAAGTAACCAACCAAAACCACCCAAAACAATAGTAATGCTATCAACACAAAATAGGCACTACCCAAAATCCAATCCAAATAAAAGAGCCCGCCTATCTAACTCGACAACATCCACATGACCAATTTGGCATCCACACCATAATCCACTAGCAAAATAAAACCATTTCCAATCCAATCCAGAAAATCCGTTAAAAAACAATGAGAAAATAAATCAGACACCAAAAGGTTGGAAATTCCTAAAAAAAAAAGTACCTTGAACAGGCTTGCTCTCCATTTCTGACAACCCAGAAGAGCTCCCTCCTAGAGACTCCACAGATCCTCGTGACCCTTGTTGCTGCTGTTGACCTTCCAAATTACTACTCCTATTCACAACACCACTCTGCTTATTAGCCCACGTTGGCACCCAGTTCCCTTTATTCAATTTAACTTCCTCCAAATTCAACTCTCCTCTCAAATTCTTTTGCTTTTCACTTCGCCTTCTCTTGGCTTCCATTCTCCTTAAAGTCTGAATTTCCTTCCTCTTCCTCCACTCTTCCTCCGTTTCGGTAGGCAAAGAAGAAGTCCTCATGAGAAGAGGATAAGATACAGGTGGTGTACTTAAAGCATCATGGTCTCTCAACAATGGTATTGAACCAGCTATAGACGATGATCTCGTTAGTTTCTCTGAAGTCTTATCAACCCCAAATCTTCCACCAAGTGATAACCCAAGATTTAACTCAACCTCCTCTGCTTCTTCTCCTTCACTTGTTGCTGTTTTATATTGCTGTGCATCACTTGAAATGAGTCTTTGTACCAGATCTCTTGGATACCTGTTTATTTCCAAAGAAAGACTCTCCATTGCTCTGCTACTTCCACTACTGCTGCTTCTATTTTTATTAGCGTTTGCTTCTCCCATGATGCTGCTCTATAAAACAAGAGGGGTAAAAAACAAGTGTTTTTTTTCCCTCTTCTTTAATATAAGTTTTTTAGTGGATTGGGAGGTATTTTTGGGTTCTCTGAAACGCAACGTGAAGAAGGAGAAGAAGTTGAAGTGTTTTTTGATCTGATTTAGATACACCCATTTGTCAGGAAGGCTTAATTTAATTTTTTTTGTTTGATTTCTTAAAGAATTCTCTCCCAGTCTCAGAGTTTTCTAACAAATGCGTTGCCATTAATTAAAACCCAACTTGCATGCACTCATCAACAAGACCAAAACAAAAAAATGTTAGAAAGAAAATACTAAAATGTTACTGTCTTTTTTTCTTTTTTTATAATAATATAGTACTGAATAAAGTCTAAAAAACCAAAGAAGGAAAACAGAATCAAAGGATTTAACGAAACTGAAATCAACAAGGAGAAACAGGAGGAGGAGGCAGGGTGAGGAGGGAGATGGGGTGTTTTGCTTGGATTAGGAGGTGTTTTGTACAGTAATAAAAGGTTGGTTGTTAAAGTTTTTTTTAATTTGAAATTATATTAAAATAATATTTTTATTATTTAAAAAAATAATATCAGTAAATTAAAATAATTTAAAACACCTGAAATAATTAATTTAAAATCAAAAATAAAAATTTTTTAAAAAAATATGATTGGACAGTGTTTCTAAACACTCTTTTGAAGAGAAAAGAAAGAGAAATTAATTAATTAAAAATATATTTATTGAGGGACGGAAATGCCCTCCACGTTAAGAGAGGTATAGAAGGAAGATAGGAGCGAGCCAAGTGGCGATCACGAGAGGAGAAGAGTGACACGTGGGTATGATTGACACAAACCTTTTTCTTTTTTATACTAAATTTGTGTTGTTAATTAATTGGTTTTGTCTTCTTGAAGTTTGTGTTGAACGGACCTAAAAAAACAAGTTGCCTTTCAGAGGACACGTTTCGAGATGTAAGGGAAGCAGGAAAGAGTGGCACAGGGT